ATATATATATATATATATATATATATGTATATATATATATATATACAAACACACCTGGGTCGTCGCAATATGCATTTTCGCATTTGTATATTATGCAGAAACGCATAAAAACAAAATTTGCACAATCAGAAACGACAACAGCTTACTTGGATGCAGTCTTCCGGCCGGATAACAGGGAACACGTAACCCCTCATCTTGCTTCTCGCGGAACTGCCGAATCGGACTGACATTGCGCACGGTCCGATTGAATATCGTAACATTGCCTCAATCGGAATATGCAAATTATTGTGCAACTGAAATCCCTCAGGGAAAACCGCAACCTCCACCTTAAGAACCCATTCGTCCAATAGTACCGCTCCCTCCTTGCCCCGTCCGCTTTTGAAAACTGCTGAGAAGTAGATAACTCACCACTCCTCTCTACTAAATTCTATCAAAGTATCCCCTCTTCCATCCTCCTCGCCCAGCAACATATTACCGCTCTTACTACTCTGAACTGTAAATTCGCACGTTAATTCAGCGCGCCACCTCAACGAAATTTACGCGTATTAGTCAAGCCCTCATTCTCGCTCTCCCTCCCCTAGCCCGCTCCCTTACCTCCCTCTCGCTTAGATCCTGTACTGTCCGCACAGCTGCCAAACCGCAATCGAACAGAGCAGGGTACTCCGTCTAAGGAAGCAAACCTCACTCTTCTGCGCCTTACTTCTCTAGTTCTCTCCCACGTGTTTCAGCGACAGCCTGGAAGTCCGAAGCTGCTTGACGGAAGTACTAACCAAGAGCCAGTCGCCACCAAAGCCACCAACGCCCCACTTTCAGAGCTGTTTGATAAATTAGGTGAGAAGCCCCCTTCCCTCCCATTCGCTAACTCGTCAGACAGAATTCTGCATTCTGCCTTTTTCGGACTGGATACTCGCTAAATGCCTGGCGACTGATCGTTGCCGATTCCAGTGTGAGCACTCGTGTATCCGCTTCCACCAACACTTGACCATCTTCGTTTCGCATACCGAAGACCATCAAGCAATCAGGAAACCAAGGAAAACGATTTTCTCTGCGCAAACATCGCTCAAAGCCAGCCCCGCCCCAGTTATGTCAGTGCCAGAGTCCACCTGACGCCAGATACCCATCCCGGATAGTTTCGAATCAAATCGTTGGAGATTTTCAAAGCTCACAAGTTCAGGGACTTGTTAAGCACCATTTCTTCATTCATTAAAAGAATTGCAATGAACTGAAAATTCAGTTTGAGTTCCGGATCAGGAAATCAAAGCAGCTGTAAATGCATTTTTTTTTACCGATTCTGAGTTTCCGTAAATTAAAACAGTCACAGAAACAACAAAGTGAATTTCGCTGGCATGCGCAGATGCCACCTTTTCCAGTAGTCACCAAGAATTAAACAGGAAAGGTGATATCAAGTTTGCAGGGCAACCCAAACTAAACAAGACCTGAACCTGCTACAGATGAAAAGGATGTCAGCCCCACACTTCATGCAGCAATTAACCAAAAAATCCGGTTCAGCAGTAAGGCGCCACGTCGAGCTTACGGACGTCGCCAGTTCTCGTACATGTAACAGTGGAACACGGACGAGCTGAACACCAACATCACCCAGAGAGACACCGGATGTCATTTTAAAAGAAATTCACTTTGTCATACGCAACAGAATAAAAATTTCGTAACTTTTAAAACATGATTTGCGGCACTGTACTGCATGAGAACAAGAAATGGCTGAAAACGAAAAAGTAAGAAGTGGAGATAAATTAGGGTAAAGCCCCATCCCATCATCCAAATCTTCGATTCCGAACACCTCTTGTATCTGTACACACATGTCAGTGCTGCATTGAAATATTTAGCTCATGTGACGTGCAAAAAATGCGGTTAAAATTCTGGGCAGTGAGTTAGCTTCACCCTTTCTCCCATCTCCTTCAGAAGCTTGAACTTTGTGGCTTTGCAGAAGACAGCCATTTTGCATGACTACACACCAGGACAGTATCGGCACAACATCTCATAAATTTACTGCATAAAACGAATATATGATTTTGGTTCGGATGCAAGACCAACTGCTATTTTTCTGGAACAAGCAGTAAGAAAGACTGGACGCAGTGCCGAAGAAATAAACTTCCCTTCTTACCTTATGAGATTATATGACAGAAAAAATAACTACGACAAAGTAACACTTTATGCACTGACATATTCGGGGAGATAATATGGGGTTCTATTGCTTTGGGCTGCAAAACTACAAAAATCGTCTGTTTAGGAAAAAAAGCAAGGAAATGAGTCAAAAGCTTCAAAATTAGTCAACACAGGTGCTAAAATTAAGACAAAGAAACGCAAAAGCTGGTCAAAAACGTCGGAAATGACGCTAGAATGCGCTAAAGAGCATTTGCTGGAAACTAGATGTGCCATCGATCTGAAGAGGGACCACCAGAACGGCGCTGAGGGTTCTTTCAATATCTCGAAAAGATCATCAGCCAGTAAGCTGTTTTACTACTGGTTTTAGATGAAGTTCGTAAGCTGAAGCAATTCATTAAAATAGAGTGATCTGAGATTCTGCGTTAGAAAACTCGGGCCAAACCTGCGGAGGTACAGCCAAGAGAGTGAATTTTTGGTATAGTTTGTTAAAATGATGAAAATGGGTTGTGGCTGAGGTATCAAAACAGCAAACAACAACATATGAACACACACACACACAGACACACAACGTGGTCAAAATAGTGAACGATGGACACAGAGATCGATATGGTGTAATTATTAGCAGCTATGCATTCAGTTCGAACTGGAATAAGTGACGTGCCACGGCTTCGTTCCTCACTTTATGCAATTTAGAAAGAAAGAGAGAGAGGAGTGTGCGCACGCACTGATGCAATACACTGTTCACTAAATCGAAACAAAGCCACGGCAAGCACCATTTTTCAATAACGAAAGAAG